AAGCGGCCATTCCGCTATGATATATCTCGTTGACTATGTTTAGCAAGGTCTGCAGGCTGAAACCTTGCAAGCAATCACAATGTTTAAGGTAACTTTATTGATGTGGGGTTTTTGGATTCCATAATATGTCTTTTGGAATGAGATTTCTTGCAATACCAAATCTAAGACATTGCAAAACTTCTGGAATCAAAGTAGTTGATAGAATCGGAGTATCATAGCAAAGGTCGCCGAGAAAAAACCCGAAAAAATAACTTCGGCTGCCGCTTGAGATGCCGAACTTCGCGTAAATGTGAGTAGTAATATACTCGTCTCGACCGGCTTTTAGATGTGGGACGCTGATAAGACTTTTTACACATAATTTAATGCAAAAAACTTTTTACGCTTATTTTAATGCGAAAAACTTTTTCCGCCCTATTTTACACCGAAAAACTTTTTACACGTAATTTAATGCAAAAAAACTTTTTACATATAATTTAATGCAAAAAAACTTTTTACGCTTATTTTAATGTGAAAAACTTTTTCCGCCCTATTTACACCAAAAAACTTTTTACACATAATTTGATGCAAAAAACTTTGTACACATAATTTAATGCAAAAAAACTTTTTACGCTTATTTTAATGCGAAAAACTTTTTCCGCCCTATTTTACACCGAAAAACCTTTTAGACATAATTTAATGGAAAAACTTTTACACATAATTTAATGCAAAAAATTTTTTACGCTTATTTTAATGTGAAAAACTTTTTCCGCCCTATTTACACCAAAAAACTTTTTACACATAATTTAATGCAAAAAACTTTGTACACATAATTTAATGCAAAAAAACTTTTTACGCTTATTTTAATGCGAAAAACTTTTTCCGCCCTATTTTACACCGAAAAACTATTTACACGTAATTTAATGCAAAAAACTTTGTACACATAATTTAATGCAAAAAAACTTTGTACACATAATTTAATGCAAAAAACTTTTTACACTTATTTTAATGCGATAAACTTTTTCCGCCCTATTTTACACCGAAAAACTTTTTCACCTAATTTTAAGTTTAAAAACGTTGAACACTTAATTTATTGCGAAAAACTTTTACGCTCATTTTAATGCGAAAAGCTTTTGAGCCTTATATTGAAACGAGAAACTTTTCGATCTAACTGTAAGCCCAAAATGTTTGTATTCGTATTTAGTGTGAATCTTATTAGCGTTATTTGTACCCGAAAAACGTTTTCTGCCTTATTTTAATGCGAAAAATTTTTTCGCCTTATTTTAAAACAAAAAACTTTTCAATCATATTTTAAGCCTAAAATTTTTGTATTCTTATATTCGTGGAAAAAAATGTTTTAGCTTTATTTGTAACCTTTGGTCATAGACTTTGTCCTCTGTTAGCTTTTTTTTTCATGGGTTGTGGGCAGTCCTTGATAACGATTTGCTGTTAATAGTTAAGGCGTGTTAGAACTTGACCGATTTCAATAAAAATAACAAGTATATAAAGCTGCAAACGTCGTGTAGCAGGGTACTCAGATTTGAAAGTGTTTCTTAAGTTCATTAGCTGAGTAGACATTACAAGTTGTGTTTATTGAGCAAAAAATGGATGAGCATTCTGACAACCACGAAGAAGAAGAAGAAGAAGAAGAAAGCTTAGGTAGCATCCCTAGCATTTCAGAAGATAATCTACTACTTGAGCAGGTAGCAGATACTTATTCTCAGAAATGGAAAACTGCACTTGCGGTTTTTCAGTGCCGCATCGCGCCCGAGTTGTTTGATGTTCCGTTTTCACGCCTCTGTGTAGTAATAGAAAGCATTTTTGAAGAACTGCTTAACAGAATTTTGGTAGACAAAATTCAGCCTTGGTATATGGTACGCGTGCAATTATACAGCGATCATTTGCGAAAGAAGATTCCTATTTGGACACCGTTAATGCGGCGGGACGAACTAACTGTGGACCGTATCATGGCGCGCGTGGAACGGGTGATGCAAAGTTCAACAAGCTTTCGCTTGGATGAAAGCTTCAGGATTGAAGTCCAGTACACAGAAACGCCGGATGGTGGAGGTAATGACAATCTAGTGATTCCTGAAAGCGTTAAAAGGCTACTGAAAAACAAGATGTCTATCGTGCGTATAAAGAACGACGATAATTTATGTTTACCACGGTCCCTAGTAACGGCTAAAGCCTTAGCAGATGACGATCTGCAGCTGTATTCAACGCTACGTGACACCAGGGCACATAAGCACCCAGAAAAGCAGCATAAGGATCAGCAGACATTATTGGCGAAACAGCTGGTAATAGCTGCAGGCCTGACGGAGCGGCGCTACAGCCTGGACGACGTAGAGACTTTTCAAAAGTTACTAAGCGATTATCAAATCATAATTGTTGGACTGGAACAGCTTAACAGCATTATCTTTGCTGGCGAATTCAGGAAAACGCTTAATGCTATTGTATTATGCCAACCATTTTGACGTTTTAACATCTCTTCAAGGGTGGTACGAAAAAAGCAAATGGTGTTTTCATTGTAATCAGGGGTACTCTCACGAAGGTGATCATCGCTGTAAATATACCTGCAAGCTTTGCTTGCGCGAAAGGTGTGAGCTCGAAGCAAACTTTGCGCGATACTGTGCGGGATGCAATCGAACGGGCTTTAGAAACAACGAGTGTTTTAACCACCACCTTGCAAAGACAGCGAAAAGCACAAACCATAACAAAAAGAAAAGCATTTGCGAAAAATTCAAGGTCTGCATAGATTGCTCAGCATTCATAAAGACGAACGTGAAACGAGGATACGGGACAGACCATGTATGCGGCGAAATTTATTGTTCGGTTTGCCTGTGTTATGTATTACCGGAGCACCATGACTGCTATATTAAACCCGAGAAACTTGACGACAAAGTATTAGCCAAGCACAAATCTGCTAGTTTCATGTACTTTGATTTCGAGACGTACCCCGACGGTAGTGGAAAGCACATCCCAAATTTTGTGTAATACAAGTGCAAGAAGATGGAAAGCCCATTGAAACCCGCCAATTTCCCGAGGACATCAGCAACATTGGCAAAGACATTGCAGGCGATGTCTGTGAATTTATTTTCCAAGAAAAGCATGCTGGATTCTTTTGTTTGGCACATAACTTTAGAGGGTAAGAAATTTTAGTTCTTCTTCTGTTTCACACAACATGAAATACGTTGAAAGTATACAGCTTACGGATAAAGTGGTGGGCTTTCTAGGTTCGATGGCTATTTTATTTTAAAATGGCTGCTTCAGAAAGGTCAAGCGCCTGACGTTATCATGAAAGGTTCCCAAATCACGCACCTGCGCGATCGGGAGTTTGGCATTAACTTTCGGGATACGCTCAATTATGTTCCTTTGTCATTGGACAACTGGGCGAAATCATTCGCCGTTGAGGAAACTAAAGGTAAATTTCCACATGTCCTGAACCGACCACAATTTTGGAACACAGTTATTGACTATCCGGACATTGAAAAGTTCAACTACCGATTTATGAGCGATAAAGAAAACATGCATTTATGGAATTCTATAATGAAGACAAAGCTTTAAAAAGAGGATTGTATGACGTCAACAAGGAACTGGCTGCCTATTGCCACCAAGACGTGACCACGCTACGTTGTTGTGCAATGCAGCTGCGCGAACTTTTTTTCAAAATTACGGATGGACTATGTATTTTTCAATCCGGTTTAACCCTTCCAAGTGTTTGTCATTATTTTTGGAGGTCCAGGCTGCTAAAGCCTTTGGAAGTTGAGGTTATTCGTATGCCCAGCAACAGAATATCCTCCAATAAAGCCAATTCATGGTTACAGTGTATAAGTCAGAGCCAAGGTATTGAACTGGAGCGAGAATTCAAAATTGGTGCATTATTCATTGATGGGTACCATCTGGAAAGTCGAACTGCATATGAATTTTATGGGTGCGTGCACCATGGCCATCCAATATGCACGAATCCAAGTACACGCCACCCGCATCAGGACGCCACAATGGGTGAGTTGTACGAGCGAACCGTACGGCGCGAAGGAATGTTGAAAAGCTTAAAATCAATATTGTGAGCGTTTGGGAATGTGAATATGACAGTCGCATTAAAAACGACGCTAATTTTGCTACTGCTATAAAGAACATACGGATTGTTGAACCGCTTGACCCGAGAAAAGCATTGTTCGGAGGACGAGTAAATGCCTTAGTGTTAGACTATAAGGTCAAGCCTGGAGAGAAGATAATGTACTTGGATGTTGTATCCGAATATCCATATGTCAATAAAAACAAGCGCTATCCGGTTGGCAAGCATAAAAGAATTACTAATAATTTTAAAACCTTGGATAACTATTTCGGAATTATGCATTGCAAAATATTACCGCCTCGCAACCTGATGATACCGATATTACCGGCGCATTTCGATAAACTGATTTTCACGTTATGCCGCACCTGCGCTGAAGAAAAGAATCAGCAAGTTTGCACGCACGAGGATCCGGAGCAAAGAGCTCTGACGGGGACTTGGTGCACACTAGAACTACAAGAAGCCGTGAAAAATGGTTATGAACTAATGGAAATTCACGAAGTATGGCACTATCCCGACAGCAGAGAGCGCTTTTTTGCTGATTATATTGATTTGTTCCTGGCGCTTAAAGTGCAAGCTTCTGGCTGGCCGGCTGATATTAAAACTCCAGAGCAGCAAGATGCGTTTCTGGACCACTTTTCCAAACGGAAGGCATCCGGTTGGACGGTTCCAAAATAAGCTGGAATCCGGGACTGCGGCAGCTCGCTAAGTTGTGCCTGAACAGGTTAGTGCTTGATTTTTTTGTTTGTTTGGTGTCGGTCATACACTAAGAGTAGTTGTAGTATTAGTAATTTATGCTATGGTGTTTACAGCTTTGGGGCCGGCTGGGAATGAGAAATAACCTTCTCAGCACAGTTTTCGTGAACACTGTGAAGGATTTTCTGCACTATTTAACGTCTTCAGAATCTGAACCATGATTATGACGTATTTTCGGATGACGTTGTACAAATAATGTACACGAGGAAGGATGCTATGGTTCCGACTAACCCGAAAACGAACGTGGTTCTAGCAGCGTAAGTGATAATAGTTTCAGTTTTAGTGCTTCACTTAAATCAGGTAAATTAGACTTGTACTTATTTTTTTGCTGTCAGGTTTACAACGGCACACGCAAGATTACATTTATTGAAATTCATGCAAAGAGCTGGCGAGCGATTACTATACTTTGATACGGTAAGAGCTAAAGCATTAGCGTAAAGCATATGAAACTAGAAGAAACGAGAAAAAACATAGTTTTTAAATTGTAGGACAGCATTATCTTTGTTCAGCGTCCAGGTGATGAGCCGTTTGAAACCGGGTCCACTCTGGGGATGTTAAGTAATGAGCTGGCCGAGGACGACTTCATTACGCGCTTCTGTAGTACTGGTCCAAAATCTTACAGCTACGTTACGGCATCTGGGCAGGAGGTCTGTAAAATCAAAGGATTTGAAATTAATAAACTTACAGGAACGGTGTTGAATTTTGATTCGATGTTGAAAATCGCAACCCAACCTCTCCAAGATGAGACCGCCTCCGATAGCGCTCATGGTAACGTTCAGCCCGAGTCCCTTTCCGTCACATATGGTAGTACTATTCGCCGGAAGAAACGGACATATGAAATCCAAGATGTGCCTATGACAAAGCGGTTCAAAAAGACGTACGACAAACGACGCATCTTAGATGACTTTACTACTGTGCCATACGGTTACGTACCATAGCCCTTGATCATGAACTTGAATGTTGGCATTGTGTCGTTATTGAAAGTAAAGTCCAGGGTGGTGTTGGCTTCGTCGATACTGGCGGCGGCTGATGGCCGATAGGGTAGAAAAGTGGTGACGGTTCCAAAAGTAATGCCCGATAAAATCAGAACAAGTGCTAGCAGACTACCAAAAAAAGCAATCGTAATGACAACGCATATCGCTCGACGCCTTTCCTCAGCAGGGTCCATGGTAATGCAGGATATATAAACGGACGCAATTTAGACAGCTAAGAAACAGTTAGGAAAACGAAACGTGCAACTGAAGTTTTGTCAGTTTTGCTGCAGTTTATATAGTAGTCGATAGAACATGTCTGGATGTGAACCCGAAAATGTTCGTTTATCATCAACATCGACATCGCCACCACCATCGCCCGGAACAATGGATGCCATTCAGCACATTATCTGGCAAGGTGACTGGCAAGGTGGATTGCACGATAGGTTAAAAGGTTGCCTCGTGGGGAGTGTTGTTGCCAGCAGCTTTGGTCGTCTGTTCAATACACCCTTCTACAGAAGCCATTTACCAACCTTGAGAGAAGTTCATGAGCGGTGTGCTGACGTGGCCAAGAATCCTTGTTATGTGCGTTGTGGGTTTAGTGGAAAAGTTGCTCTGGTGGTTCTTGGAGTAACTATAGGTTGCTATACAGTCCAGCGTGACTATATAGCTGATGGACTGGGTAAAGCGATAGGATCATCCAACTACTTTGGGGTAGTAAGCAAATGGAGCGTTTATTGAAAGAGTTTCATCGGCGATGGGATGCTGCAAGCAGCGAGAGCAACTTTGCTCTTCGACGAGAGGACGAAGCTTACGTTTGTGGGCCTGCAAGAAGTGCGCACGGTGGGCAGGTCTCTCACGGGTATCACGGAGCAATGATGGCTGCAGCGGTGGCTTTGTACTACTGCCGCGAACCTAGTTGCTTCCTCCTGAGAGAAGTCAAGAAGTGCGTAGCCATCACACATACGCATCGTTTGGGGATTGATGGAGCTGTGCTGTTTGCCTTTGGTTTACAGGAAGCGTGTGATAGCGCCCGCACAGCTTCAGTGACGACCTTTTTGAAACGGCTAGAGGATTATGCTTCAACTCTCGAACCACCATTTGGAGAGAACATGATAGCTGCCAATGCGTTATACGTAAACCATAGCGTACTGCGTTCGCCGGCAGACATTATCCGACTGTATCCGAATGTTAACTCGCGCGCCGCACAGGACTTTGGTTCCGCTGGCTATGGTCATGGCATTCGTGGGTGGAAACCTGCAGTGGTGGTCTGGATATAACATCATGTCACCTTGGAAGCGAATGGTCCAGAGCTGCATTGCCCTTGGAGGTGACACGGATGGTCGTACGTTCATGGCAGGCGCATTATATGGAGCTTTCTATGGACTTTCGTCTGACCAACGTGAGTTTGAGGCGATGCCCGAGATAACGGAAGCAAACAATGCTAGTACTTTAGCTGATGCATTGTATAAAGGGTGTCCACCCGATGACTAAAAACAAAAGCAAGAATAAACATGCTGCTGTTTTAACCTATTTAGTTGGCTATAAAATGAGTAGGTCGGCTCGTGTTTCTGATGTTAGTGCATAGAGTTTGCGTATTCCTGCCTCCACTTTGATTTAGTTGTCCATTATTCTGTTTGTCTGCTTTGAGTTTAAAGCGTTATCGTAGCGTGTTACCGTTATTTGTGAGTATTTTTAAATTTTCACCGCAATGGCTGCAATGCGAAGCGTAGATAGTGTATCAGGTGATAACAGTGACCTTTTGGCTGCCTTGTCGTCATCACCATCGTTGTCGACTATTCCGGCATCACTTCAGCCTGTTAGGCATTAACTATTACTGGTACTAAGAAACGTAAGGTCACCGCGGACTCGTATAAGCCCAAAACCGATGCAGTTAGCTTAGCTCGGCGTGGGTTTACCCAGGGCAGGTTGCATTTCAGTACGAAGGTGGGCCGGTAATTAAATTTGGAGGAGAAAAATTCATTGCAGTTTACTTGATGAACAACCGTTTGCGATACATTATTGGGGAGTTTGATAAAAATCAGGAGGGTCAGTGGGTTCCGAGTTTAGCGTCCAAGCATGTCGAGTTAGATGCGAAGCAGTTTGCCAAACTAATGGGTTTACAACTGTGTGGACAACTGGAAAGACTGATCAATTATGACGAAGGCTCTACACCCATTACGGCAATGCATGACCTGGGCGGAGGTTACTTCTTTAACTGGGGATGGTAAGAAAGTCATTCATATAACAACCTTGTGCTTTTGTTTCTATGGCACATTATTATATTTCTGCGGTTGCTTCTCCTCAGGCTTGACGAAGTACCCATTGCCAACATTCGGGTTTACCTTGAAGCAAACAGCCTGAAAGAACCGGGAACAAAGGTGGTCATCGGCTCACCCAGTGAGAAACGACTTGCGATGAAGTGAGTGTTGTGTTCTAGTGATAGCAGCATAATTAATACCCAAATTTACTTATTTTTTTTGGTTATTTCATAACCGTTTAGCTTATTGATATTATTATTATGGTTGTTGTGGTTGTTGCAATTGTAGTGAAAAGAACTGGACGGCGTTCTGTGAACTTTGGACAACGGAACCATCCTTAAGCATACGTATGAGGTGCTGAAGGGACGATCCGGGTACCCTACCATGCAAGTCTGCCAAGCCGACTACCAGGATATTTTTGAGAAGCTACCGTGGCCTATGATGGAGCGCTTTGCAAACGCCTGACGCAAGAATGCAAGCTTTGCCACCTTATGGAGGATACCTTTGCTGATCCGCTGCAACCTGGAGCTCATGATGGCCATACTGCATGCCGCTACTCGGATCGTATACAACTAACGGACCGTATGCGAAGCTATGTCTGTAAGGATGTGGAAAAGACTCTGCTGGGGCTGTTTCTCAAGCAACTGCCGTACCGCTATGCTGACGAAGCAGCGCACTCGCATCATAATGCGGAACGCAACTTGCTGGAGGCGTACCACTTCAAGCCGGACGAATTTCTGGTAATGCACGGAGATCGACTGTGTGCTGAAATGCTGCAGCGTTTCAAGGAGCAGTTCAAACTGAACTAGTATGAATGTTTCTGTGTATGTGTGGTGTGTGCCTGTTTGGTTTTTCAAGCAATCATCTTAGCTCGTTTAGGTAATTTTAATCGCTATATCATCAGTTTCAGTATATTCGTAATCATTTATTACTGATGTTATTTGTAAATATTTTTGATTCGCGTTGGCGGCCCCAAGTCGATTTGTCATTTTAATTGCTACGCGGTTTCTCTGCAAAACTAGCAGGTGTGCGCAGCGCACCTCCCTTGATTTTGCGAGGGCAATATTGCAATTTAATTGTTAGTAGAATGCTTCAAAATTATAAACACGTGTTTTGCATTGAAAAGTCATTAATAAAGTTACGAACCATCAAGTCGTTTTGAAATTGATTATCAATCTGATATAGGTTATGAATGATGTAGGAATAGGAAAAGCGACATACTGATCGCATTACTATAAAAAACATGCAGTGTTGAGCGCAGGTAGTGGACAATGGCTGTTGTAAAACAGCTCGCTGTTCGTATAGGGGCAACGGTGGTGATGACGCAGGCTGGCCGATGAGTTGCGTTTTCAGAAAATTTTCAAGTGACTGACTATAATAGGCCACGGGTTTGCTGTAGGAATCGAAAACTTCAATAAATGAGGCACTCAACGTAGACGGCAATCCAATGTGTTCCGGGTTCGCTGGCTGGATCAGTGTTTACAATAAACGCAGCAGGTAGGTCGACCTCTGTAAGATGCTGCTGCTGTAGCTCATCTAGGCGTAAACGCCGCGAAACACCGATCTCAGCATGTGCGAAGCGGGGTTGTACTGTGACCACATGATATTCCGAATTTCCTGTTCGTTCATTGTGACGATTTGTTGTTTAATTACGATGCAAAGTCGCAAATAACCTGGCGTAAATTGGTGAATTCTATTAAATGGTCGCACGTTATCCAAGCCAGCATTTGATAGGCATTAGTTAGTGGTGTGTCAAAAGTTACTTCCAGGCCCACTGTCCCTGATCGAATTAGCGTCATGGGCCCTAAGCCTGTAGCCGTTGGCGTCAGGTCAAAAGCGAACACTGTGTATCCTTTGCGTATGTATGACGATCCAGAATATGGGCTCCAGCTGGATGGTTTTTTTGATTCAAAACATCCAAGAAGCCGTCATAACACTTTAAATAGCGGTTGTTTGGAAAGTCACACATGTAGGGTATCGTTGGGTATTGCTTCCCATCCACATTAATACAGATTTGACGAACGCGACAATGATCAAATACAAACGGATTGAGGCTTGTTGTGCCATGGAAGCGGTCCGATTGCACAAAAGCAATAAATACCACCTTAGGTAGTTGGCCGTACTTGAGGTCAGAAAAGGCTATGGTTTGGGTGCCAGCAGGAATAGCACGCGCCTTTAATTCTGCGCGTTCAATGTGGTATTTGGCTGTTGTTGTTTGTAACTTTTGTGTAATAGCGTTCATGAAATCCGGTGATGGGATATAGCGTCGTACGGTTATGCGTGGATGTTTCATAAATGCCTTGTATTCTGTTGCAGCCGCCGCACCAGTATTCCATGATCGTAAATAAAATTCTGAATTGTTAAAGTATAGGCTAACGTGCACGGGCACGCCTGTGAGCAAAGGTTTTGATTGTACGCATAAGTCCGTGAAAATCTTTCCCGATAACTGAACGCTAGCACTTAAAGCAAATAGCTCCTTGCGCTTTGCTTCACCAGTGTTCTCTGTGGCATGTTCCATCTTGCCTGGTGTGTCGAAATAAAATCCGCCGCTCGTTAGCTGGCTTTTCATGGCATCTTCAGTATAACTTGTTAGAACCTCCATTATAGCGCGATAGGGATAATAAGGTGAACAGTCAGAGATCACCTTGTTCGCCACAGTAAAATGAATTTGTTTGAACAAACTATGCACAATATAATTAACAGGCG